AAACATTCTCCCAGCCTGAAGGCATTCCCTGGACTACCATCCTCTAGGTTCTGTCGGTCAGTGAACTGCGTATCCATTGTAAGATACTCCCATTATATCCACTTTCTTTATTTTCAGTACCAACGTTTTCAGATTTTGTTATCCAGATGTTCCATGATCTTATGCTTTGATAGGAATCTCCAAAACGTTACTCACAATGTAATCAATGGTCTGCTGAACCACGGTCACTTTTGTTATTTTTTTTAATTGGGAGTAGCATCTGCCATTTTCCAGTCTCAAGTAATTGGGAATAAATGATTGGTGTTGTGAAGCTAATACAATCAAATCTGGTTAAGAACAAATTAATATGAGTACAGTAATTATATCTACACTGGGGAGCTCCAGTGGGAGACATCAAGAGTTTAGAGGGAGCGAGTACCCCTGATCTCTGCTGTATTTCCATAATTCTGCAGTAAAACAGGGTCAAACATTAAGTTGGTTTACCGTCCCTAGACTGCTGAGCCCAATTGGGATATCATCCGATCATAAAACAACAACAACAAGATTCTATTTATAAAGCGCCTTTCACGTCAGGAGGACGTCCCAAGGCGCTGCACAGTTGGGTCATGACCCGAGCAGGGGGGAAATGGTCAGGGTGAGGGGAGGGAAGGGAGGGAGCGAGGAGGGGCGAAATGGTCAGGGTGAGGGGAGGGAAGGGAGGGAGCGAGGAGGGGCGAAATGGTCAGGGTGAGGGGAGGGAAGGGAGGGAGCGAGGAGGGGGAAATGGTCAGGGTGAGGGGAGGGAAGGGAGGGAGCGAGGAGGGGAAGAGAGTCGAGAGGGGAGCTGAAGGCTCGGTCAAACAGAAAGGTTTTGAGACCGGCCTTGAAGGAGGAGAGGGAGGAAGCAAGGCGAAGGCACTGGGGGATAGAGTTCCAGAGCCTAGGAGCTGAGAGGTTGAAGGCCCGACCACCGATGGTAGGGCGATTGGGGCGGGGGACGTGGAGCAGACCGGAGCCGGAGGAATGGAGGGTACGGGCAGGTAGGTAGGGGGATAGTAGGTTGGAGAGGTAGGAGGGAGCAAGGCTGTGAATGGCCTTGTAGGTGAGGATGAGGATCTTGAAATCAATCCTCTGGGGGATGGGGAGCCAGTGGAGGCGAACGAGGGTGGGAGTGATGTGGTCCCGAAGCCTGGTGCGGGACAGTACACGAGCTGCAGAGTTCTGAAGTGTGGAGGGAGGTGCCCGGAAGGCCGGCGAGGAGAGAGTTCCCATAGTCCAGCCTTGAGGTGACAAAGGCGTGAACCAGGGTTTCAGCAGCGTGAGGGGTGAGGTAGTGCCGTAGTCTGGCGATGTTCCGGAGGTGATGGAAGTTGTGGTGCGGATGTGAGGGTGAAAGGACAGCTCAGGTCGAACAAAACGCCGAGGTTCCTGACTGGCTTTGAGAGGTGGAGAGTGCAGCCTTGGATGCTGATGGTGTCGGCGCCTGAGGTGCGGAGGCGCTGACGTGAGCCAATGTGGAGGGCCTCAGTTTTGCGTACGTTGAGCTGAAGAAAGTTGTCTCTCATCCAGGACTCGATGTCGGACAGACAGCTGTCAGGACATCGGTGGTCGTGGAGTTGAGAGTAGAGGAGGAAAGGTAGAGTTGGGTGTCATCCGCATACATGTGGAAGTTAACTCCATGTCTGCGGATGATGTCACCACGGGGCAGCATGTAGAGGAGGGGACCGAGGACAGAGCCCTGAGGGACACCACATGAGACAGTACGGGGGGTGGAGGAGAAGCCATTCGTCGAGACAAAATGAAGACGGTGAGAAAGGTACGACCTAAACCATTCAAGGACAGTGCCTTGAAGGTTGAGGTGGAGTAGGATAGCGTGGTCGACCGTATCGAATGCTGCCGATAGGTCGAGGAGGACGAGGAGGCAGAGGGAGCCCTGGTCACAGATGGTCAGGATATCATTGGTGACCTTGACCAGGGCAGTTTCTGTGCTATGGGCAGCACGGAAACCTGACTGAAGGGGTTCGAAAAGTTCGAAAGGCCCAAGTCAATGTAAATGTGTTGTTGTTAACAGACTCCAACTGATGATGCAAGGGGTTAGTGTCCCGGGAGGTTCTACTCTGGTACGGATAAACGGGCCTCTGATTTTATCGCTCAGCACAGCTCTTTGTTACAAACATCTAACGATATGCATAAACCAACAGAATGCGATATGCTATCCCATTCTTGCAGCCATTGGCGTACCTGGTAAGTTTGTGATGAATTGAGCTGAGAACCCAGCAGCGGGAGGAGAGAAATGAGTGAGGTGGAACAGACTGAGAATTCTGTTAAGGAATTTGTGAGAGTATGAATTCAGTGTAGAAGGGGAAATAGTTGCAGAATTATAAATTATGCAGAACTTGCAAGGACTTAACCTTCACTGGGACAAGGAATCCTCCCAATGAGCTCTGGTTAACCCTGCAAGCCAAACCCTGACAGGTAGGCTGGTCCTAACATGACAATTGGTGGGAAATCTTGCCAGGCAGTGCTCTCAATTCCAAACTGTGCAGTTTTATCAGTTAAGATTCCAGCAGTTCCTCCATCACACTCTGGGGTCCAAGGTCTTGTCTCTCACCTTCCTGCAACTAAAACGCTCCAGAATTATATAAGTAGGAGGCACCCCTCCATAAAGACAGAGAGAGAGAGAGAGAGAGAGAGAGAGAGGGGGGGGGGGTCGGGGGCTTTTCGATTTCAGTAAATATTTCTGCCATGTCCATGTTTCCGTGGGCTGCATGGAATTCTCAGTTGGGTTTGGATATCTTAAGCATGGTGATGGGTTTCCAACTGACTGGAAAATTATATAACCCACAGACTAGTGTTTTCGGCCATTTTACAATTGGACCATTTATTTTATAACCCAATATGCTTTACAATAATTCTTCCCATTTTGTTCCCCCAGAAGCGTCTTCGATCCCTATTTTGACAATTCTTTTTGGTCATTTTTAACTTCTTCATTTAGGTCATACCAATCGATATCATCCAGTGATCGGGCTTCACGCCCCCTTTACCCCCACCCTCGCACGACTGGGGAGAACTGCAAAAGGTTGTGGAAAAGGAGACATCGACATCATTTTTATATTCTCTGACTGCTCACCAGCATGAAGCAGACTTAGTTGTTCGTGTAACTTCACGAGGGCGAACAGGTCATCGCCCTGTTTAAATCAGCAACCCTAAGATTTCTCTCAACCTTGATTTGTATTCCTCAGATTTGTTATCTATCCCTTCACAACCAATAATCTCTCCTTTCCTCTTTTCATCATCATTTCCTTAATAATAATAATAATCCTTGCATTTGATATAGCGCATTTCACGTCGGGAGGACGTCCCAAAGCGCTTCACAGAACACACTGTAAAGTGATTTGACTGTATATTTGTGGGCGAACGCGGCAGCCAATTGCGCACAGCAATGTCCCACAAACAGTCGTAGATTGAAAATGACCAATTTATTATTGTTTTGTTTTTTGAAGGGATTATTATTAGGCGTGTGGAGTAAGGAAACTTGCCCAAGGTTTTGCCCTGTCTGGAATTGAACTCAGGTCTCTCGCTTGCAAAGCGAGTGCTCTAACCACTGAGCTACAGGGCTCCACAAATATGATGGTACAATGGGAGTGGTTTGCCACCTCTATCATTCTCCTCTATATGCTTAGCTTTGTCTGTTTATCACATTCTTATATGTCTCCTGCGCGACTGCTTTATAATGATCACTTGCTGATACTGATATGCATTCACTGTTTTTAAATCCTCATCTCGTTTCTGGTGTGTAATAAGCGACTTCTTTTTGGGTTCGCGGAATCCATCTGAAACTAAAGTAATTATGAACTTCGTCTCGAAAGTGACAGCAATCAGATTGCGGTCCTTGTTTACTGTCTATTCCCGACAACTATTAACTAACAAAACCTTTCGTGTTTGGACGCCTTAACAGTCATTAAAATTGAGGTTCCATTTCGTGTACGAATTTGAAGGAAAAGCTGCATCTATTATTTAATTAGTCATGAGATAATGCACACAATTTGGATAGTAAATAATTGTTTCCTTCATTATTGTTCCACTTTCAATACTACTACAACTGCAAGACTCGCCAATAAGAGCAACCAGTTCTCAGGAAATTGGTATTGATCTAATAAATGAATAAATAATAATCCTTGCATTTCAAATAGGGCTTTTTATATTTTCTAGACATCCCAAAGTGCTTCACAAAATGTACTGTAAAGTAAATTGGCTGCATATTTGTGGGCGAAATGCTGCAGCCAATTGCGCACAACGTTATACCATAAACAGTCGTGGATTGAAGTGACCAACTTGTGTTATTTTCTTGAGTGACTATTACAGTAAGGAAAGTTGCCCAAGGCTACGTCCTGCCAGAAATCAAGCCCAAGTCTCTCCCTTGTGAGGTGAGTGCTCTAAAACCTGAGCTACAGACACCATGTAATTTGTTACAATATCTCCTGGGATTGGGTTACATCACGATATTACTGACATTGGCTAAAACAGGAACAATTACCACCAAAATCTGTATTCCGCATGTGTCAGATGTGATCCTATCACAAGTATATTCCAGATCTTTAGACGATGAGTGCAGAAACCTACATTCCTGTCCCAGTCCCATTCCTTGTACAATAATGTTACACGGAATGATATCTACCCAACAAATTTACGTTTTGCAACTATTTCCACACATTTCCACAGTAGAGCCCTCAATTATTTTCTTACCGCTGGTATTCATCACAGTCTGCTGCATTTGCCTAGAAAACACACTGTCGCAACACATTACAGTGAATCCTGCAAAGCGCTTAGAGACACCCCATCCTCCCCCAACCGACTTGTTAGGCTCTGTGCTGAAAGTGGAGAGTGATGAAGTCCGTTCAGTTGAATGGAGACAGTGACCTAAAGCTGACGGTTGTTTGTTCATCCGCTTGTGAGTAATGCCCAGCGAGTGAGCCGATTAATGGTCTCACTGGGACATACCCACGACTTCAAATAGCGCTATGGGCATCAGTGCAAACCACCGCCACAACATGAAGAGGTTTCACAGTTTCTCGGAGAAGAGTTTTCGGAAAGAAACTATTTTCCAAATAATGTACATCGTCTACCCTGCCCTGGCCCTGGTCGGTGTGCTCGGTGAGTCAGCCATTGTGAACCGTGGGACACTTCAGCTCCGAATGTATATTTACAGAATGCAAATTTTGGTGAATTTTGGTGAAACTGCATGGTTATCACATGTTTTCACGCTGACACCATTATTCCAAATACACTAGACTTTTTTTCCGGTACTTTTGCCGGCGTGTTGGCTGTACAATAGTTTTGGCATTTAGACAGTGCTCGCATCAACATTAATTGAAATATATAATACATATTTCTGGTTTCGGATTCCGTCAGCTCCTTGTCACTTGAGGCGCTGACAGTACCAAACATTACTTGGTGTGCAATGCACCTCTACTAGCAGTTGCAGGCACCACTTTGCCAGATTTCACTCAAATTCACTCGATGAAATGTCTTGTAGTCCTGAAGCTCAGTACTAGATCAGAATTCCGCACCTCTCCCGCACGAAACTCATGAGCCTATCACCCCCTTCCTCGCCCGGCTTCACTGGCCCACCATCCCCCAGAGCGACATGTTCCAGACCCTCATTCAGGCCTTCAAAGCCGTCCGTGTTCTCGCCCCCACCCTTTATCTGTGACCCACTCTGACCATCCTGACAGCCCCAATCACTGGACCAGCACTGCTCTTCTCCACGTCTCCCTGTCTTGCCATCGGTAATGAGGCTTTCAGCGTCGTGTTGTCTACTCTGTGGACCTCAGTTCCAATGTCGCTCTGCCTCGCTGCCTCCATCTCCGCTTTCCAGAGACACCTCGAAATCGTTTTGTTCAACTTTCTCTCGGCCCCAACCCATGGCTCAATTGACTTCCCATAACTCTCTGGCGCTTTTAGATGCCCACCAGGTTTTAAAGGCCTGTACAGGTAATTATGTTATATTTCACACAGTGAAAAGTCTGAAACTTTTCCAGTTGTGAAGGGGAATGTGTATGTCAAACGGCAGCCAGTTTGCACAATAGCCGTAAACCAAGCCACAGATTTTATTGAGGAGATTTTGTCCAGGAAACCCAGAGAATCTCTCTTCTCTTAACCCATAGCACCGCACAAGTTCTTTAAAATCCGCCTGAGCAGCAAGGCGGGATCTCTGGATAATGGCGTATCCGAAGGGTGGCCTCTCTGCCAATATAACACCCCCAACCCACCCAGAACTGCTTTCCTGCCGTCAGCTTAGACCATGTGATTCTGATTCTCCACATAGGGCTGAACCCACAACCATCTAACTCGGGGGTGAAAGTTGAAGGACGTGCAATTCGAAACCCAGATTGTATTTCCAGGTTTAAAACGGGCGCTTTTATATATATAGTCTTTCCAGTCAAACCAGCGAGTTCCTCTCTCTTTTTATCTGTCTCTCTGTCTGTCGGTCGGTCTGTCCGTCAGTTTGTCCGTATTTCTTCCTGTTGCAGCTCTTTCTCTCTTTCTCTCTTTCTGTCTGTCTGTCTGCATTCCTCTTTGTTACAGATCTTTCTCTGCGTTACAGGTAATTTACTGACGATCGTGATCCTTTCCCGAGAAAACTGTGGTCTGTCCAAACGCATCACCCGCTATCTCATTGCCATGGCAGCAGCAGACCTGCTGGTGGTCATCTTCGACGTGATATTGACGCGGATGAATTTCCTGTACTATCCCATCTGCTTCCTGGACCTGACGCCCGTGTGCTCACTGGTCGGCACTATGTTGTGTGCGGCTGCCGACAGCTCGGTCTGGCTGACCGTCGCCTTCACCTTCGATCGCTTCCACGCCATCTGCTACCAAGTGTCGAGCGGCTCAGACTTCCCCGAGAGGATGGCCGCCGTGGTGATCGGGGGGGTCTGGGTGCTAAGCTGCGCCACCAACGGGCCCTGGTTCCTGTCCTATGAGCCATGGTTCGTGATCGGAACCGTGTCTTGGTTCTGCAAGGTCAAGGACAGCGTCTACGGTTCCCGCCCGTGGGCGGTGTTTCACTGGTTGGACATCACGCTGACCCCATTTATTCCTTTCTGTCTGATTTTAACCCTCAACGTGCTGACCGTCAGGCACATTTTAGTTGCCAATAAAATCCGCAGGAACCTGCTGGGCCCTGGCCGTGGCGAGCGGAAGATTTCCGACGCGGAAACAGAGAACCGTAGAAAATGCGTAGTTTTACTCTTTGCCATTTCCGGCAGCTTCATGTTGCTGTGGAGCGCGTACGTTGTGTTTGTGATCTACGGACAAGTAGTCAATTATTACTACACAGGTTACAACCACCCAATCTACATCCTGTACCACGCGGCCATCATGCTCCAGCTTTCAAACAGCGCCACAAACACGTGCGTTTACGCGGTGACCCAGACGAAATTCAGAGAGGAGGTGAAGAAGGCAGTGAAATATCCTTTTGTTTTAATGTTAACCGTGTTTGAACCGTGAAAATTCTCCGTCGGCGTCTGAAACACAATGCTTTCAGCTTCCAGCAATTTAAAGAACATGATTTGGATTATTGGTTCAAGGATCATTTTCTTGTTTTGCAAAGAGAAAAACCTCTTATATTTGATACACCGCCTTTCAACCCAAGACGATTCTTCCGTGTCTTTGCCGAGAATCGTACAGATAAAATTGGACATTCATTAAAATGGCTAATCTAGGACGTCATTTTACAAACTCGGTTGCAAGCCCATTTGACTAGACGTTTCGTCTGTAAATTTCATAGCAAAAAAGGGGGTAACTTTTAAATGCCTCCGCAGTCTTGCAACATTCCACTTCTGCAAACTCCTCAAACACTACAAACCTGACCGTTCTGAGCCTCACACCTTCGCTTCCCTCTTTGAAAGGCCGTTTCAAATTTTTTCTCTTTGAAAGTGCCTTGAGTCCTGTAGCTCAGTGGTTAGAGCACTGGCTTTGCAAGCGAGAGACCTGTGTTCAATTCCAGACAGCGGGAAACCTTGGACAAGTTTCGTTACTCCACACAGAGCCTAATAATAATCCCTCCAAAACCAAAAACAATAATAAATTGGTCATTTTCAATCTACGACTCTTTGTGGGACATTGTTGTGCGCAATTGGCTGCCACATTCGCCCACAAATATACAGTCAATTCACTTTACAGTGTGTTCTGTGAAGCGCTTTCGGACGTCCTCCCGACGTGAAAAGCGCTATATCAAATGCAAGGATTATTTTTATTTTTTGAGTCACCCTCGCACCCCACCCAATTGGCCTCCACCCTTCCTAAATCCAAGCCAGCTCAGGTGCAAACCCGTGACTGCCGAGTACTTTGCTGCATCCTCCTGAAATGAAAGGCGTTATCTCAAAGCCATACGTTATTATCAAGATCATTATTATTATTGAGCCGAACTCCCAATACAAGTCAAAATTGTGTGATATAAGATTTATGTGAAAATAAGGGGACGTGTGGGTTTGGCAAACACGCAAATCAGCTGCAGGGAGGAAGGGGTGCGACCTACACTGACCTGTCGCTCAGCAACCTGGACGCAGAGATAGCCTCACAACGGGCAGCTATATTTGCCAAATCCATGCACCTGACCATCTGGATTAAGCAGCTGATGATGAATTAGACTGGAATGTGGCATTGGATGTGGACCTCGAGAACATCAAGGTCGCTGTAGATGGAAGCAGTTTGTGATTGCAATCCTGAGGTAGAGGAAAATTAGAAGTGGTGGTTTCATGAGAATGCGCTTCCAATCCCAACAATCTACCTCTGGAATTTCTATGTTTAGCTTCGATACATGGAAATCTCAGTTTGGTTTGGATACTCTTAAACATGGTGAAATGTTTCTACACTTGTCAGACACCCGGCTGACCACTGGCGATTGTATCCATAGGAATGGAATAAAACATCCAAGAAAGTAACTATCAAATCGATTTTAATATTGAGATTGTTTTGAATATAGTATTCTTGATCTTAGTATCATAATGTGAAGGAATTTCAAATGTTGTTTGAATTGTGATGGTGTGAACATGCAATAGAACTGGCAGAAAGGAGGAATTGGTGGATTGGAGTAGATCTGTCCTTTTTCCGCCAACAGAGTCTCACCTGCATCATTTCCTTCCTTCAGTAATTCCACAAATTTAAATTTCCCAAAGTATTCCCCAAATAATTTTTTGGTTCAATAATTGTGAGGAACAAAGAATAACATATTTTGTTCTTTATTGCTGTAAAAATTAAAAGATTGGAAGAATTGGCAAGAGGTTTCATGTAGTTTAACAGAGGGCGGGATCCCGTGGTCCACTCGGAAACTGTACATGCATTAATAATCAAACATGGAAAAGGAGAAAAGTCTCAGGTTTCAATCCCCACTGAAGATGTTTGCTCCTTTGTTTTCTCACATATTTCCCAAACGAGGTTATGCTAGATGCTTTCAACAAGATCCAAGTGACAACCTCTGGCCCACGGCTTCCACCTTCATCATCCTCTTCTTTCTGAGTATGGTCTGCAGTGACGCCATCACTCTGATTAAGGTGATTAGAGTAAAGTCATTGACGCCATGATGTGATGTAACAGCTGCTGTTAAATACTTATTAATGATACACTGATAATGATGCTCATTGCCACCACAGGGCTGGGAAACTTCCCCTGTCCGTACAGGCCAAGATCCATGTGACCGGGCTGTGTGAGGGTGTAGAGCACATCCAACCATCCTTACACACCCTATCACACCTGACATATACACACCTGGTATAGACACGGACAAATCTAAATTCACACAATTTCAGATGGATATTATTCAAGATAATATTCCCTGAAATAAATGAATCTCATTTAATTTTTGAAAGAATCACCACTTTTTGCTTTCACCGTGTCACCACGAATCATATCCATACGTTTACTGCTCACTCACTGAAATAGCGTTTGCACAGATTTGTTTTGAATTTCAATTGCAGGCAATGCTCTATGGTTTGCCCACCACACTATATGCCTTCCACTGTTACCATACCTGAGAATGAGCCCCGCAGGGAAGGAATCTCACTTGTCCTGGAATCCTGGACGAGAGACAACTTTCTTCAGCTCAACGTGCTCAAAACTGAGGCCCTCCTGATTGGCTCAGTCAGCGACTCCGCATCTCAGGGGCTGACAGCATCAACATCCAAGGCTGCACTCTCCACCTCTCAAAGCCGTCAGGAACCTCGGTGTTCTGTTCGACCCTGAGCTGTCCTTTCTTCCTCATATCCGCGCCACAAATGGCACCGCCTTCCATCACCTCCAGAACATCGCCAGACTACGGCACTGCCTCACCCCTCACACTGCTGAAACTCTGGTCCACGCCTTTATCACCTCAAGGCTGGACAATAGGAACTCTCTCCTCGCCGGCCTTCCTCCACACTGCAGGTCATTCAGAACTCTGCAGCTCATGAACTGTCCCGCACCAGGCTTCGCGACCAAATTACTGCCACCCTCGCCCTCGATCACCTCCACTGGCTCCCCATCCCGCAGAGGATCGAATTCAAGATCCTCATCCTCACCTATAAGGCCATTCACGGCTTCGCTCTCTCCTACCTCTCCAACCTACTTTCCCCCCACGTACCTGCCCTTACCTTCCGTTCCTCTGGCTCCGGTCTGCTCCACATCCCCCGCCCCAAACGCCCTACCTACCGGGCCTTCAGCCTCTCAGCCCCGAGGCTCTGGAACTCCATCCCCCAGTGCCTTCGCCGCTTCCTCCCTTTGCTCCTTCAAGGCCGGTCGGAAGACATTTCTCTTTGACCGTGCCTTCAGCTCCACTCTCGACTCTCTACCCCCTCCTCGCTCCCACCCTTCCCTCCCCTCACCCTGACCATTTCCCCACATGCTCGGTTCGTGACCCAACTGTCCAGCGTCTTGGGACATCCTCCGGATGTGAAAGGTGCTCTATAAATGAAATCTTGTTGTTGTTGTATCACGCTTAACACATTTTTGTAAATTTTTTATGCATTCAGAACTTGGAACTTGTTAAATACTGCCACAAATTTAAAGTCAACGCTGAACAAGTTTCTTTTGTCAACTACAAATAACTGGCGACATAATTTGTACAGATTTCAATGATTTGCCAGATTCTGTGAATTTCAAAATGTTACATAAATAAAGCAAATCAGGACCCTTGTGGAATTTGGCCAACATCCTTTCCATATCAAGGATATTCATCCTGTCCAATACAATTCTTCATTTATTTCACGATTTTTTAATTCAGCTATAAATCCAAGAACATTTGCAACTTGTTATGCAAATCTAGGAAGAAAGGAATTCTGCAATAAGGAAAGGATGTTCATCTCTTTGATACCTCAGCAGCACAGACCATGCCATCATATGGCCACTGAGAAGACAAAGAGGATGTTCAGTAACATCCTCAACTAGTTCAGGCTCAAATACTCAGAAACCATCATGAAGCTGCACAGACGTTATTTAGGCTGAACGTGGCCATCAGTGATTGTGGAAAGTTAACAGCCTGGACAAGAGACTGTACCGAGATGAATGAGTCCCATTCCCATAGTGAGAGTGATGTTCTATCAGGAACAATTAATAAACTGGTGTATATCTATATGGAATCGTAATATATGATTATGTATACATGTGTCCGTGTAAGAGAGAGAGAAATAGAGAGTGAAAGAAAGAGAGTGAGAGAGAGAGAGAGAGAGAAAGAGGCTGGTTGAGGAAGAATTTACACTAAACAGAGGTGCAGAAGTCAGGACTCTGTTTATGTGACAGCTTCACAATATTTTTTCAGCAAACCAAAAACATTGGAAAATCTTGTAGTCTGGAATGGAATGTTACTGATTTGGCCTACAGTGTTCACAGGACCTCAACTGAACACATTTCCAATGCCCCCTTTAACCAGTTTGCCCCTCAGGTGCTGCGAATGAGGCGGGCAGGCAGGCTGTCAACAGCACGTTCTGAAATACTAAGGACCCACTTGGCTCAGGAGCAGTCTGATCGAGACCACTTTCTGGTCTTCTACATCCCTATTATATATGGAAAAGAGTACTGTGATTTCCAAGTCATATTAATAATAGTGGGCAATACTATTTAACTCAACGAACAGTCAGTCATACTATTCAATGATTAGTTGTGCTTACAACAAGAATAATAGTAATCGTTGCATTTGATACTGCGCCTTATCACATTTTCTAGTCGTTTCAAAGCGCTTCACAGAATATACTGCAAAGTGAATTGACAATATATTCGTGAGCGAAACGCGACAGCCATTTGCGCACAACAGTGTCCAAAAAACAGTCGTGGATTGAAGTGAGAAATTTATTGTTGTTTTTTCATGAGGGATTATTATCAGGCATAAAGAAACCTGCCCAAGGTTTCACCCTGCCGGATAACGGATGACGGTTAATCACACAAACTTATGAAATTGTTGTTAGCATTTTCTTGGTTTACATATCTCATCTAATATTTAAAAATGCTGTCTAAGTTAATGAACTGAAAAACAACCAGTT